AAATCATGTAATAAGTAACCATTATTATACTTTGAAAATACATATGTTATGTATTTTTCAGGCCTTTCTGGCTATCTCCTCGTCAGGTAATGGTCATCCCTGTGGGGCCAACTTGTGAAAAATATGCACTTCAGGTAAAATCAGAGATGTTTAAAGTACATAATAATCTTGCATGTATTCTGTGTAGGTCATCAATTTGGAATGTCCTTCATGCTTTAAAATATTGCAGAACTGACACATTAACTTAAACCATGTTTTCAGCAGTTGGTGGTAACATATGAATCATGTCTCTGCAGCTGTATCAGAACTATTTCATTTCTTAATGTTTTTGAGAAATTAGTATTTTAAAACATATGTATTCATGTCTACATGGCTCTATTAGGGAAGAATGTTATCTGTTGCTGTATCACAAGTGACCCCAAAACTTAGCAGCTTTAAACAATAAACATTTATTATCTCACAGTTCCTATGAGTCAGGGTCTGGGAACAGCTCAGATGGTGGATTCTGGCACAGAGCATCTCCTGTGGCTGCAGTCAGGCTGTTGGCCAGGGCTGCAGGCCTCAGAGCTCACTCACAGTTGGTGGATACAGCTCCTCACCACCGGGGCTTCTTCACAAGTGGCCTGAATGTCCTCACAGCATGGTGACTGGTTTCCCCCAGAGCGAGTGATCTGAGAGATGGGAGCTGCAGGTTTTTATAAACTAGTCTCAGAAATGATGTGCCAACACTTCCGCACTTATTTATGGTCACAGAGACCCTCTCTGGTATAGTGAGCAGGGAACTATACAAGGGTGTGAATACCAAGAGTGGGGAACAACAGGGGTCTTTTTGGAGGCTAGGGACCATAATGTAACAATAAAGGTGTTTCATTTTCTTCTAGGTATCCAGTGAATTTTTTGAAGAAGGATTTATGGCTGACGTTGACTTAGATCATAATTGTACACTAAATAAGAAAATACGAAATGCACAGCTGGCTCAGTATAATTTTATTTTGGGTAATTTAAGTTTGTATATATTTTTCCAGATGCTTTTTTTTTTCACTTCAATTCCAAAAGACCAAATAAATATGGTTCAACTACTTAATACTTACACAAAAAGAAGAGTCCATAGTGTTCCTGGCTTAGCTGTTCCTAGGTATTCTTTATTGTTTGCTGGAAGAAGAGTTATAAAGTTTCACCTGAATCCTCCGGGATAGTTTTACTAGCAATAGTTAGTATTGCAAATCAACAATGAAAACAACTGTGAAAATGATCCCATCAGTAGAATTATATACTTTATATTTCAGCCTCACAGGCCTGTAATATTTTCCCTCACTTTTCTGGCTTATTAGGAAAGTTTAAACTAATGGAAAGAAAAGATCCCAAATTTAAAATGATCCAAAGGAAAAGATTTAGATGAAAAGTAAAATGTCCTTTTAGCACATGACTAATTCGATGCAGAATCTAAAATTTAGGCTTTAAAAATGATTCCAAAATTAAGAGAAACTAACACTGATATAACAGCAGGCATAGTATTGCTATTTCCTGTAAGTTGAGAGTCTGTAGAAGGCAAAATAAATATGCATAGTGTTGTTCTATTGACAGTGTTTCATTGATAATGTTTGACATCATAGTAGGTATTGTGGTGTTTAAATTAGGCTTCTTATGGTGGCAGAAATCTCAAGTTGGTTTAGACAAAGACAGCATTTATTGGAAGGGTCTTGGAGTATCCCATGACATGAAAGGTAGAATTAAATAGCCAAACCACTAGAAGAGCAATCAGGAGCCCAACCCTCCCATTTCTGGTTCCTGTCTCGCTCTGGTTCTTTATGCTTCTCTTGAATATCTACTTTGTTCTGCTTATCTGCAGACCGGTTTCCTCCTTCTGTATGGCAAGAAGCATGGCTGTAGATTCCTGCTTCATCTCACAATATGGGTCACTAGAGAGAACAAAATTTTTACCCACATTCCAGAAAATTCTGGCTGACTCGCATGGGTCTGGTGTCCACCTCTTGGCTCATCAGGTATGCCAGGTGGAGTCAGTGACTCTGTAAGAGCTCCCTGCTCTCATTTGCACCCTAGGACCACAAGAGCTGTTCTCTCAAGTGGACAATAGAGAGATGGGATCAGAAGTCATTCCTTCCCTCAAGAAACTTAACTATCAGAGGATGAACCTAATGCTCATTAGATGATATTTATTAATAACGAATAAAAACTTGATAAAAACTTGTCATGGGACTGCTGACTTAACATTTGGCAAATTGCTGATTTAAAATACATTTCTTTACCTTTCTTTTCTGCAGTGGTTGGAGAAAAGGAAAAGATAAATAATGCTGTAAACGTGCGAACAAGAGACAACAAAATTCATGGAGAGATTTTAGTAACTTCTGTCATTGATAAACTGAAGAATCTCAAGAAGTCACGGACACTGATTGCTGAGGAGGACTTTTGAAGTCCTTCCCTGATATCTGCTTCTGTGTAACTTTGTTTTGACCCTTAAAAATGTATTTTTCTTAACATGTTAGTACTTCTAAGACTTTGGAGCCTTTGATGGGGGTTCATTCACAAGCTCAGCTGAGAAAGGAGACAATGAATGTGTAGCTGACATGTACCAAGTTTAATTCACTGATGTCCATAAGGGACAATCAGAGGGCACGTGTGGGAAATTTTCCAGCAATCAATGCCTTGAGAAATTTAAATGGGGAAATATTATTCATTGAAAAAGTGAAACAAAACACTAGGAAATGATTATGAAATGTTAGGGCTAAGATTTGTGATTTTCAAAAGGTGGGCTTCAAATAAAAGTCTGCAGAGTTTTTTTTTTTTTTTTAACATGAGGGAAAATCTTATTTTCTAGTATGTCTCAGGTATTTTTATGACTGTTTTACTAAAATTCACACTGAAACTTTATCTTCAAATTGGAATCATTACTTAATTTTAACCAACAACCACAAAAGCAGCAGCTACTACTAAATATTGGATTACTGACAAAGGAATTCAGTTTTGTGGAATCTGGTGTTTGCACTATAGGTTAAGAGTTGCCATTTAAATGTTTCTAATTCATAATTAGGTTTTGTTCAGCTTTAGAAAAAAATAAATTCCCGAATGAATTGCATCAGTGTTTCCAGTATTTCAGCTGTGGGCTTCTACTACAATTAAGCTGCTCACCTAGAGTTAAATTACTTTTGATGGGATGACATTCCACGGATTTATATACTGAAATGGATTTCAGATTTTACAGAGGTATGCTTTACTTGCTCAGAACTGAATTAAAATGGCATTATGTCAACAGAGAATTCAGCTACCAAACAAGAAGTATTGTTTAGTTTGCAATATGCTGTGAAATTTAAAAGAAATGTAAGAAATTATCTCTTTTCAATATACTGATCATCTAGTTAACTTCCTGAGGGATGTGAACAGTGAAACAGTTGGCAAACAAAACAATATATATATCAGACTTGTGTAGTATAACGTGCAGATTGTGTGATAAATGGTTTTTTTTTACAATTTTTTCTTTTTTTTTTTGAGACGAGGTCTCGCTCTGTTGCCCAGCTTGAGTGCAGTGGCGCGATCTCGGCATCCCGGGTTCAGGCGATTCTCCTGCCTCAGTCTCCCAAACAGCTGGGACCACAGGCACGTGCCACCAGGCTTTCACCGTGTTAGCCAGGATGGTTTTGATCTCCTGACCTCGTGATCCGCCTGCCTGGGCCTCCCAAAGTGCTGGGATTACAGGCGTGAGCCGCCGCGACCAGCCGTGATACGATTTTTAAAACTAACATTCAGGGCTTATGTGCAGGCACTTTTCCATGTATTTTTTTAAAAATCATTCAGCAAACATGCACGTGAGGGGGTGGTAGTCAGAAGACCCCGGAATAAATGATCCTGCAGCACGTGGGTGGGAGGAGAGCACATGTCACCAGCACGTTCCTTCCAGGTGTGCTGTGATAGAAACTGGCAAGGGTCTCCATGAGCTGGGGCCTGAGTGCGGCTACCCAGACGGCCAACCTTCCCCAGGCAGGGCTGTGCTCTGGACTCTCCCCTCAATTCCCAGCGCCTCGGGCCATCCTGCTTCTCCAGGTCTGAGATGAACTTTCTGGAAGTGCTGCGTATCTTCAAAGGGCCGGCCAGAAGTGAAAGCCGCGGCGCTGGCCCCAAGGGAGGGGTCCCTCAGGCCCCCGTCGTCCCGGGGCCGCTTCCCCGACTGTAAATAAGTCTTTAGAATGAAACGCCAAGCGATACTGTCTTCAGAACCTTCGCACAAGATCCAGCACTCGACATCCGACCATACACTGGAGCGGCCTGCCTCCCACATTTGCCCGCCTCTGCACTTGGTTGCTTTAGCTGTGCATTTCGGTCCACGGATGACCTTTAACCGGTCTCCTGCAGTGGAAGGAGGGGTGAAGGCCTCTTCCAAGGGCGTGAGGGGCGCGTGGAAACGGAGCAACCTCCCAGGCTCGCATACTCCTCGGGGACCTCCCGGAGGGCGCAACCCGAAGAAAACCCGCGATCAGCGCGGGGTCAGCGAAAGCGCAGACGCCAGCCGTACGGAGCTGCATCGCGCCTGCGTCCAGTTCACGCTCCAGCTCCCAGG